ATGTAGGCAATATGTCCCTTTGTCTTGTCCAAAAATAGTAAAAATGACATTTTCTTTTTTGCTATCTGATAGCTTTGATGCAAAAGTAAATTAGACTAATGCTTGCTGTTGTGCATGCTCCACAGTTATTGATGTTCTGTAAATCCCTGTTCATGTTTTTTGTACTAGCTAAAAAACCCCCCCAATCCTATTAGCATAATACTCTACTAGTAATGTATTATGTGTAATATTATATATTTTATGTCATATTCAGTGGATTGCTATATGTATGTATTTTGCTGTCTTTGACTGTGATCTGCTTAGCAGCTGTGTGTTTTTCTTCCCCCTTGTTGAGTTCTAACAACATTCCTTTCCCTTCTGCTATTCTCTTATAAATTCTTAATCAGGAGCCTGTAAACTCCCAGTAGGTTTTTGGTTGAACCTAGGAGTGAGGATGGAACTCAATATGAGCTAGATGCATAAAAAGAAAAAAAAGTTTGTTTCTTTTCTATATGGTCATTTTTATGTTTGGTAGAGGGTTGAGGAGGGGGTGTTAAGTATGGTTAGTTCTTACGATAAGGGATTTCTTTGCTTAACTTCCTGATATAGAAGAAAAGAAACCTACTGCAAACTTTAACCATTTAAAGATCAAAACATGTAATATGAGACTGCATTTTCTTTTCTTTTTTAATCAGCCTTTACAGGTCAGTGTTGTTACTTATTACATTGTTAATCAGGCTAACTTAGATATTAATTTTATTTTTAATATTTACAGTTAAAAATTGAAAAAAATAAAATGGTTAAATTTTTTGGTATTTTTGTTTGGACAATAAGAATTAGTAGAATTTGTGAAAATTAAGTAATATGGATATTTGTAAAGATTTTTATAAGGATATTCTGCTATTTGTTTATATGGTATTAGAAAATAAATATCAAAAGTTCTGATGGGAATGATTTCAGTTTATCAATTCAAACTAATAGTAAAGATAGTCATTTGTTTTAACAAACTTAATTCAATATATTATTTGAAATTGTGAGAGTAATTAGGAATTATTTTTTCTTTTAGTTAAAATGGCAAAGACATTAGATATTTAGACATTTTTCTTTTTGATCAGATGATCGGTAAAAAATAAGACTAAAACTGTTTTCATATTTCACTAGAATTCTTCATTGTCTTTCGAAGCATTGTTTATTTTGATGTAAAATTGTGATCAAAATAAACATGAAAGTAATAATGGTACATTTGAAATAAATGACTAAAACATGGAAAGGAGGAAAGAAAAAACATGGAAAGGAGGAGAAAAAAAATATATAAACAATAGAAAGATCACTAAGAGTTGCTGAAAAGTTCTCTGTCCAAACAAGAATGGTATCCCAAGAAAATTTATTTTGTTCATTTAGTGAAATTTTGGAAAGTTGGTTGAGCTGAGAACTTTTCAGCAACCTTTTGTATATTGAACAAAATAAAAATACAATATTAAAAATTAAAACAACAATAACAGGATTATGAGAATGTTCATTTCATTGAGAAAGGTTCTGTCTTTATTTTATAATATTCCACTCTAATTCTCCTTTTTCTATCATTCTGACCCCCACCACCATTTCTAGTGTTGGTAAATGCTAAAAAGCATAAGGATGCAAGTAAGAAATGTAGTTAGTGCCATGCCTACCATTAAGAGCAAAAATTTTGCTATGCCTTGCAGCAAAATTGGCAGATGGCAATTATTCAATCCTCCAACCCCCTCTCAACAAAAAAAGAAAAGAAAAAGTAAATGAATAAAATTCTGGGTTACCATAAAATGTCAGCAAATGTTGGCATTCTCTTGTAGAAGAAAATGGAACTGTTTTTCACAAGCAGCTTGAAGATATTGGTGTTATAACAATATGTCCAAATTTCTATTAGTTGCTGTGTCAACGGGAACAAAAATGATTTGAAGTATGTTTGACTATTAAATATACTCCCCCATCCACCCACAAATGCATATCAGCCATGGGTTGAGATGCATAATTTTTAAACAAACCTTATATTCTGATAATTCATTTTAAATTTGTAAAACAATATAGACAAATTTTCTGATAGATATGTTTTCACGGTTTAGTTGAAAGTCTTTTTTTTTTTTTTTTTTAGGAGGATGATTTTAGTTACTTGATCTCTTAAAGTGTTTGTGATTAGAAAGAGAATTGATTTGAGCTATAGGTTAAATAGGACTTTTTTGCATTGAGATGTCAACCAGTCTAGGAGAACTTTGAATTCAAAACCAGCCTGAAGAGGGATGGCCTACGTCTTACCTTAGACACACCTCTCCTGTTAAGTCTGCAGTACATATGATGCCCCTACATCCCTTGGATTAATGGACATATCATATTTTTCTGATATTTTTGGCTTGAAAGTAAATATTAAAAAAAAAATAATTAATAAACAATAACAAGAAATCTGTTCAACATTTAAGTAATAAAAACATGACATTTTTTTTTTTTTTTTTTTTTTTATACTAAACTACCATTTTTCTTTGTATTTATTAAACCTTGTCACTTTAATATTTGATGTCAATAGCAGACAATTCATAATATCAACAATTAATAAGGCTGAACTGTCATTTTTCCTAGTATTAAATAGCTTATGTCATAATAGCTTATATTATGAATTTTTAGTAATTAACACTTACTCTTCATACTGTTTCAAAATCTGGCACAGGTTGAAGATGAGGTGAAAGTAAGTTAAGAAAATTCCTTTTGTATAATTTTTATGTACAAGTAATTTTATCAGAATATTTTAAAATAATTAACATAAATATCACTGATATGTGTAATATTAAAAAAAAAAAAAAAAAAAGCAACTTTTTATGTCATTGAAATTTATTCCAAATAATTAGTTTCCAAAGAAGTGAAAATATAGAGTAGGGAAGTAAACTTCAAAATTGCTGTGACCTTTTGAAACTTACTTATTATGCATAAATACACCTATTAATACAAAAGCTTATTGATAGAATTACTAGATAATATATCAAAATGGCTAATTTATTTAATATGGCTCCCATTATTTTCAGTTAAATCTTCAACATGATCTTAAAAAATTGTACAAATCTTTGAACATTTTGGCCCACTCCTTATTGATGTTGTGGTGCAGTCTTGTTGGTGGCCTGCTCTCAAGTGTCCCACATGGCATAGTCTAGAATGTTCATGTCCAAGCTGGAGGAAGACCAGATTTTTGCTAGCCAGAAATCTGCTTTGTAGAACTTGTACACTTTCTTGGCTTTCTGGATCCATGCACAATTGTCAACCAGATAGTTGGCCTTGAGTCATGGCAAAATAGGGTACCTGAGGAACTTGTAGTTAATTCTCGGCATGCATTTTTCTCCAAGCTTGTAGAAGAACAGGAGCATTTTTCCTATCTGAGACCTGGTTTGATTCACTGAAGATTTTCTCATCAGAAGATTTTAATAGTTGATGCATGATTCTTGAGGTACTTGGCACTTTCTTGTAACTTTCCAACCTCTTTGCATCTTGGTGGATGATTTAAAGCATAGGTCATTATGCACTGCCATTTTGATTGTATTAGTGTCTACTTTTTAACTCAGCAGCTATCTTGTGTATGGGTATTGTTGAGTCTTTAAAATTCAGGGAGCTATTGAAATCTCAATTCTAATTTTTGTTGATCCTGACACTACTCTGATTATAGATGTCAGTTTCCATGTCTTTAGCCTTCTTGACATTGTAATCAGTGTCCAAGGGCAGAAGTTTGGCACTCTTTGTTATTTGCCTACCTTTGAAACTATTTTCTACAATGTTCCTGAAAAATAGATACATATTAATCTGATACTATTTGTTCTGTATTTAGTTTCACATCATTTGATGTAGTGGTTGATGCAAGATTTGACTTCCCCAACCTATATGTTGTCTATGCTGCCAACTTTTAAAAATCTGAAATATATATAAAAACACAATTATTAATTTTATATAAACATCAACTATTTTCATTTAGATTTGAACTCCAAGCTTTAGTTTAATATTTTAGAGTTCAAATTTCTTATTATCTCTGTCAATAATTCCCTTTGAAACTCAAGCCATTAAAATAAAAATGCTGACTTTTTTGTTTTTCCTTTTAGTAATCGTTTCAGTTTAAAAGAAGAAAAATTAAAGGGTGCTCTGTTTATCTGACTTTGACATCACCTATAAATTTTTTTTCATCAGAACATCTAGCATCTAAGGGATGTAACTCTGACATAACTGTTTTTACATATGGATAAATTTGATTAAAAATAGTGCTTTCATTTTTTTGTGTAGTTAGCTGAAATATTAGAGTGGGGAATTTAAGGGTTCTAGAATGCCAAAAGTTAAGAGTATGATGGAATTTCTTTATCTATTTTTTGCAGATAATCTTCTCTATATTTAGCTTACAGATGAAAATTATATTTTATTTGAAATTTTATCTTAACTAGCTTGTCTGTATTGTGGAAGAGGTAACTCAAATGCTTGTTATGCTTTGTAAATGAATCAAAATAGATGTGTAGCTTGTTTTTGCAAATACTGCTAAGTAAACTTGTTGATATTTCCAAAGATAAAGTTGAATATAAGAGATTTCTCTTCTCTTCTCCAAATGAAAATATTCTCAAACTGAAGGGGATGACAATTCAGTAAGTAAAGGGTGTTAAAAAAATGCCCTTATCTATGGAATTCATAATATAAATATAAATCAAATCCTATAATGTTATATTGAGTCAAGAAATCTATTAAGAATGTGTATGACAGTCTTTTGTTTTTATTTTTTCCTCTTCATTCTTATATAATTTTGAAGACTTTTTATATATATATTTTTTATATTTTCTCTTATCTTAATATTTTCAAATATTGCCGTTCTTAAACCATTTTACTTTCTGCTAATGACAAGAATCTGAAACTGTTGCTTTCTTCAATTATTTCTAGTCTAAGTTTCTTATTGCTTCTTTTTTCTAGATAACAGATCATCATCATTTTAATGTAACAGATTACTTAATTGCCTGATGATTAATTTCTATTTCTAGACCGAGGCGGAGGGTGTTAATGCCTGTATGGATAGGGTGCGGAAGCTGCTGAGCCCCGGGACCAAGAAGAAGACAGTTCCTCACGGCAGCAATAAGACATTTGGAGTTCCTTTGGAAGATCTTGTCAGACAAGCTCCAGATGGGCTAAAAGTGCCTCTCGTTGTGAAGAAGATCTGTGAACATATTGAGAACAATGGTATTAATAATTTTTTTTTTTATTTACAAAATATTTAATGTCTTATTTCTCTAACTAAATTAAAATTTTCATGTTGTAGAAAAACTTTTTAAATTAGATTTTTTAGCTTAAAAAAAATGCTATACCTGCTTTTGTAAAATATTAAATCTACAACTTGTCTTGGGTAAATTGACAAGTTATGCCAGTTTTGGTTAGTGCATTTCTTTTGAACCTCAGCACAATTAGATATAAAGAAAACCTTAACATTTCAGTATTTATAAGCAATCAAATATCAGTTTCAAATTGTCTCAGGAATTTGGTGCATGTTTTTTTTTAAGTAAATATTTTATTTATTAATGCATTATTCCTGTGAATACTTTAAAAAAAAAAAGAAAAAATCCTATCAGGATTTCAGACTACATGAGATATTCTAGTTTATTCTAATTTACTGGGTTTGATCCACATACATGTATGTTTAAAGTTTGGCATTTTGGGTTTCATTGCTTTTCTATCAATATCAGCAACTAGAATCAAAACTATTTTTATTCCATTTTCACTCGTCTGACTTCTAAGGCAAATTATTATTAGAATCTGATCTATTTAAGGGAATTTACAAATAGCTCTGGTTGTCTGTAATTACTCTGCATATATCTAAAAAACTTCTATATTTGTTTCGTACCACAGCAGGTTGAGATTATTTCAAATATTTAATAGCGACTTCATACTTTTTCTCTACAAGAGAAGTAGGTATCAGGAATTTTGCAATGAAATATCATCTTACTATAGATCAAACAAGTGAAACAAATGAAATTCTGATTTCTGTGATGAGGAGTTATCATTATTTACATTATTTACATTTATTATTTTACTATTTAAATACATATTGTTCTTATCTTTGTATATATTATTTATCAGTGGGACAACTTCAAAAGATTACTAAGATGTCTAATGTTAGTGAAAGTATTTTACTTCCACTGTATAATGTATTGCAAGCATATGCATTTGTACCAAACTTGAAATAATCTCAGCCTGCACTGTGGCATAGATCTTAAAGACCCTATTTTAAAGACACAAGTTCAATTTTTTTTCTTAATTATTTACTTTTTGTATGTTACTGTAGGTTTTCTAAGAGTTTAACAACTGATAGATCCCCCCCCAAAAAAAAAGGATTCAAAAACAGTGGCAGCTATGAATTGTTTCTATTTTTTCTCTAATATTAAGCTGCTTTTATCTCTTAGAGACTTACTGATATTTTTTTTAAATAGTCACTGAAAGCTGGCTCTATTTGCTGTTATATGTAAACATGTATGTAGAATATCAATGTACAATAAGAGAATAGTTGGTGGTCAACTAATTAATTTCTACTTAAAAACAAGAAAATTCTTTTTAGTTTTTATTAAAATCATATTTTGCTATTCAGATTTCTTTTAACTTTTATTGCTTTTAAGTTCCTTTTTTATAAAAATATCTTCTGTGTCTAAAGTGTGTTTTCTGATATTGTTTTAGGGTATGATCAAGAGGGCATCTTCCGGGTCAATGGCAGTGCTCGCATCATTGAAAAGCTCCGTACATCCTTTGATCAAACGGGGGATGCAGATCTGGCCGAAGATGGGGATGTGATGGCTGTTGCCGGACTCCTCAAATTATTTCTTCGAGAGCTTCCAGATTCTGTGATCCCTGAACACATGACCAAACAATTTGTCAACATACATGAAAGTAAGTGTAAAATTTCTGTTTTGTGCAATTGGAAAAACATTGAGATTAGTAAATTTCAACAATAACTCATTGAAAAATTGCCTGTGGTTAAAAGATGCTTCTAACTTGATGACTGTCAAAGATAGTGAGAAAGTTCCTTGGATAATCCTAGTTGTGACAATGTCCAGTCATGATTCCTAGCAATAAGAATCTTTTTTCTCTTTTGAAGGTAGTTTTACATTGTGGTAATATTTGTAACTACTCCTCCATTTCCTTGAACTCTACTACTTTGTATACTCTTTTTTATGGTGAAACACACCTATTCTATAGTTAATAGACTCTCCCACCTAATATAAGTAGGAGTAGTAAGAGAAATGAGGGTCAGTCGATGTCGGACAACAGTAGTCGGCAGTTAGTTGTTAGTCAGCGACCACAAGATTACTCTGCGTAATACCTATTATATCAAGTTCCTAACGTGTTGTACGTTGGACTATTTAGGACCGATTTAGTACAAATACAAGCCTCCACTGCAAAATCACAACAACATTGGCTATGAGGATTCGCACTCATACGAAGGAAGAAAAAATTCACTCGCCACAATAACTTTGGCAACAAAGTCTCGGATTCACACTAAAAAAAAAAACTTGGCAAAATTTTTTGCAAGCCAAGACATCAACTTAGTGATGAAAAAATACTCTACAAAGAAGAAAGTCAGTCTATCAAAAAGAATTCTAAAATTGCGGATTATCAAGCAAAAAGTGAAAATACCAGAGTAAAATAAATGAAAACTCCCGAAGCCATGTTTTGCTTGCGGTGAACTACACTGGTACAGATATTGCGATTTTAGGAATAAAAAAATATTTCAACTGTAAAAGAGTGGGTCATAAAAGCACGCATTGCAGGTTAAAAAATAAAGACAATAAAATAAGAAAATTAAAGTCCAACAAGGTAAAAGATGGAATAACCAGAAAATTTGTTACCGTAGAAAAAGTAATAAAAATATAAAAATGCAACTTGACACTGGCTCGGATCTATCTATCATAAATTTGCATACGTGGAAGAAGTTGGGGAAACCAACTTTAATGAAGAGAAAAAAAATCGCGAGGTCAGTGACGGGGAGAAAAAAATACAATTTATTGGGGAATTTGTTACAAACGTCACGTAAAATAAAAAAACGCGAAAAGCTAAACTATTTGTCATAGAAAATACCATGAACTTAATTGGTACAAACTGGATAACAGAATTCCAATTATGGGATCTACCGATAAATTCCTTCTGTTACAAGGTAGAAAGTTTAAACACTGAAGCCCAAAAATTAATAAAGAAACTTAAGGAAACATTTCCTACTGTTTTTTCTCCAGGGTTGGGAACATGTACTAAGATAGAGGCAAAATTCCAGCTAAAAGAAAACGCTCAGGCGGTATTCAAAAAGAAAAGGAATGTGCCGTTTGCCTCAATTGAACAGATAGATAAAGAATTGGACAGATTAGAGAAAACCGGTGTACTTAAAAAAGTTGAGTATAGTGAATGGGCAACACTGATTGTATACGTGAAAAAAAAGCCCCAGAAAGTAAAGATGAAGCTGACACCAAGAAAAACTGGGGAGCAAGTTACCCGCAGCCAAAGACCTGCAGTATTATTAAATGATTTAAGTCAACTGAAGTCACCACAGAAAACGTTAAGAAGCACAAGATCAACAAAAGGGAAGCCAGAGGCTGAACAAATAGAACCACAAGAAGAACCTACAGAAACTGTGACCCCATCCTTAAGAAGCTCAAAGCGGAAGGTTATTTCTGGTAACACTATGGAGGTACCAAAAAATAGAAAAGCGGATTGGCAATATGATGTACTTGCTGAAGGGCAAAAAATTCACGTGCAGACAGCACATTAACCAGATCAGACGACGCTCTTCAGACATGGTTGATAGCGGTCCTGCGGAAGAAACGCCGATGGAGGTGATTTTCAATTTGTTTCATCTAACAATGCCTGCAACAATTTTACCTGAGGTACGCCGATCCAGGAGAAAAAGAAAGGCAACTGATCATTTAAAAGTGGATCCAAAATGTAAGAGATATGCTACGATGTTGCTAAAAAAAATGAAGTTTTTTTTTTTTTTTTTTCTTCATATTTCCTGTAAAAAATAAAGAAAACTGTTTTACTCCTACGAAGTAAAGTTTTAGGAGGGGGGTGTTATGGTGAAACACATCTATTCTATAGTTAATGGACTCCCCCACCTAATATAAGTAGGAGTAGTAAGAGAAACGAGGGTCGGTCGATGTCGGACGACAGTAGTCGGCAGTTAGTTGAATACGAAAGTAGTCAGCGACCACAACAAGATTACTCTGCGTAATACCTATTATATCAAGTTCCTAACGTTTTGTACGTTGGACTATTCAGGACCGATTTAGTACAAATACAAGCCTCCACTGCGAAATAACTCCACAACACTCTTTTGTACCAAATGCAAGTGCTGTCTGGAATAGTCATGTCAGTAGTAATTTTTCACCTTATAAAATAAGTTTGTCATTTAAAACAAATGTGAGAGTGCATATTTTCATATGTGCTATGACATCTCAAGCAAAATAATGACTTATTGTGTTTGTTTACCATGTGATATGACTATAAAATTTGTTAGTATCTATATTTTCTCTCCAATTTTATTAATATTGGCTTCTTTAGGGCCATACAAATGTTGGGTGGGTCAAAAAAATATTTAGCTGCTGGACGGTCAATATCTGGTACTTTTCAGACAGGGTTAGTCTTTTTGTCTTCATCTTTTTATTTGAGAGAGAAATAAGAGAAAGAGTGAAAGAGAAAAAAGTGATAAGGATTTTAAGGGAAAGCAAATGTTTTGAGTTCTTTTCTCTTTGTATATTTTTATATTTTATTTTATTGGACTCACCACAATTCCAAATTAAAATGAAAATGCACATCTGCAATAAAGGAAAATTACCATCATCACACACTTTTTAAAGAAAAATTCTTTTTTTATTTCTTTTTTTCTTTCTTTTTTTCTTTCTTTTTGTTAAAAAAAAAAAATCACAATTGGTAAAGCTGCTACAGCCCTGTTCTTACAATTACTAAGTTCTTTGTGTTACTCACACTTTCTAGTATATTAAAACTTGATTGTATTTCCTTCTGTTTACATAAAGCTAGTATATGGAAAATGTGATATTGAAGTTGCATTGTAATAGCAAACAATACCTCCCAAAACCTAAGTCTTAATAAACAGTAAAATTTCATTAGAAACAAGAAAAAGAGTACTAAACTGTTACGTGATATCAGTCCTCCTTTATGGTAGTGAATGTTGGACAATCTTCTCAGATGTAGAAGTCTTATTACCACATCATATTGAAACACCGGTTCCTGTACACTCACCAAAGTTAAACAATGTTAAGCCTGATCAGTATTTAGATGGCTGACTGCTTGGGAATACCAGGTGCTGGAAGCTTGGATGTGCAGGTGGTGTAATGGATATTAGCTCAGAATTGTTAATCGGAGAGCAAAGTTCCAATTCCAGTTGGGTTCATTATATTCATTATATGTGCAAATACCCTTGGGAAAGGCATGAACCCACCTCTTCTTCCCCAGCTATGGGCTACTTTGTAAAATTTGTATTACTAAAATATTATTGCAAAAAAAAAAAATTCTTACACTCTAGAAATATTTTTTGGCTTTAAATAACTTGCAAAGGATTGATAAGTTGTAGAAAACGAATCAACCAAGAAATGAAGCTACTTGAGGCAACAGACATGTTGTTCTACAGAAGGATGCTGAGAATACCATGTACTGAATATGTGAGCAATGACAAAGTTTTAGGGAAAATGGAAACAAAAAGGACACATGTACTTAGAATCAGAAAGAGGCAGCTGAAATTACTTGGACATATGAGGAAAGTGGGCCTGAAGAATTTGACACTCACAGGACATTGGATGCAAGGAGGACAGGAAAGCAGCAAGTAATTACCTAACCAGATTGTGTAAATGGATCGTAGAACAGTAACAGGGATAGACAAACCTTACTAAGAGCTACAAAAGGTAGGAATTTGTGGTGAGCCATAATTGCCCACATCTTGAATGGATATATGACATAGAAATATTGTTGGATAAATTAAGGAATCTTCAGATTTTATATAGTTTTGATTATTCAGCAAGAATTTCCTGGTCATGGTATTAAGATCACTGATATCCTTTTTAAAGATTAATTTAAAAATGTAGATCAGTATGTTTGTTTGTTGTCATGTATTTCCAGATTTACAGTCTCACTTTGCTTCACTTTTTTTTTTTTTAAATATGATTGGGATATAACAATAGCACTATAATAAAGCCTGGTTGTAATTAGTGTCTGTAAGATGCAGTTTTTCTCTATTTATCTCTCATACTTCTATGATTGAATGTTAACTTGTTAATGTCTTGTACAACACTGTACCAATCCAACAAGGGAATTACACTTATTGCACAATCATCTCCCCATCCTGTTCCCCTGCACAATCATAAATTTTACAGGACAGTACTAGAGTTTGCATGGTATGAGAGTGGGCTGAAAATTTCATAGACTGACTCTGAAGGAGTAATACTAGAGCTGTGGAATCTTTCATGCATTAATTTCAGCCTTTCTTCTTAATAACTGCATTATTCCTTTCCAGTACATCTAACTGTTCAAAGAAGACTTCAAAAGTAACTAGTAGTGACTTCTCTTGAAAATAGACAAAATGTGGCATTATGCTGTTATCAAGTAGCTACAGAAAAATGGGTTTTAGCCCCCAAGGATATTCATGCTGACATGGTTTATTCATTAGGGAATGCTGCTCCAGCTTTATCAACAGTGCAAAAGTCGGTAGCTGAATTTAGGGAGACTGTGTTGAAAAATAAACTACATCTAGTCTCATTCCATGAGAGTATCTTAGCCTATTAACTTTTCAGCCAACCCTCGTGTTAAAATACTTTACAAGAAGTTGAAATGTTGAATTTGATTATCATGGCAATTGTGATCAGTTTATCAAGTTCATTCATATTTGATAAACTGCTTTACATAACTTGTTAATATCTATATCTTTTTAAATTAAAAAAAATCTTTTAATTTCTTATAAATTGATTAACATATTGTGTTTATGAAGCTGCCATTCCTATTTCCCTATTTTAATTGCAAATCATTCATTATTCACTTGGAACTTTCTTCGACAATGGTCTTGATTGAATTATCTCCCCTGATTTTTTGTATTAAACTCGTTATGATATGCATTATTATTCTTTTTCTTTTCAATTGACATTTGGCAATTTATTCAGTTATTTATGTTTTCTATTTCAATTGTATCAAATCATGAAAAAACTTTTCCCAATTGAGCTTTACAAAATATATAACTTCTTGATTACACAAACTTTCATATTTCAAGTAAAAGCATAATTATGAAGATAATCTATTTTTAATTTCTGTTCATTTTGGTTTGTTTTTATTTTGATCAGTTTTTATTCTGTAGACTGTCATGTGTACTTTTGTATATTTTTACATGGATATAAAACCATATAATAAAAACAAATTGGCCAGATGTACCTTGTAAGGAAAATCCAGATAATGTATAGTATTGTGCTAAACTGTAATTCAGTTACTTATAGATTATATAACAGGGCTTGGAACCAATGCTTTTCTGCTTTTTCTTTTAACAAAACTTTTATGATTTTTTTTTTTTTCTATATTTATCTAGGCTTTAATACAAATACAGAGGACTATGTGAAAAAAGTGAGGGAAGAGTTCAATGAGCTGCCTGAAGAAAATTATGACCTGTTGAAGTACTTGTTGAATTTTCTCGTACTTGTGGCACAACATGAGGAAGAGAACAAAATGGGGCCGATGGTGCTAGCTATTGTCTTTGGACCTAATGTTTTCAGGTTGGTACTAACACTTTAAACATAACTTTATGGTAAGAGTCAATATTGGTGGCCAATATTCTTTTCATATGCAAATATCTTTTAGTAAAGTACATTTTCAAAACTAATGACAGAAAACTCATTCCAATCACTAGCTTCATGGTTGTATTTTTTAAAATTTTATTTATTTCGCTTGTACATATTATACTGAATCTTCTGAATTCTTAAAATTTTTGTTAGGGGTGAGAAGTGGGTTTGACAGAACTTTTCAATGTTCCTCATAATTTATTTAGAATAAATATAAAATTGTTATTAAAAATGGTTCAGGAATTTTGTGAACACACACACACAGTTTAAATAAAATGGGATATGTGTATATTAATGTTGAGTTAAAAAGAGGAACTTTTTTCTTCCTTAGTTATTTAAACTATCTCTATTAGAATTTTATTAATTTATAAGTTGTAAAAAGAGTAACCGATTCTTTTAACTGAAATAAAAAAAAATATATTAAAGTACATTGGTTAGAAAAACAAAAACAATTATGTGCCAGTTTTGAGCAGCTTCAAAAAGTATTTATATCTGAGATTATATTGTAGAATGTGTTATTTATATACATATATATATATATATATATATATATATACTAGCAGCATGACCCGGCGTTGCCCGTGCTTGATTCAAAAATCGTACGACTCATATAGCAATCGCTATCACTTGACTTAAAATATTTTTGCCCTTTCTTGTCTTTAAAGGAGTGCCCTTTGCCATGCTGATGTTGCTACATGCCTTACTTCTCGCTTATCTCGCTCTATACTAAACATTAAATCTGTTACGAAAAAAAGAACTAAAAAAAAATGAACACAGAACGATCAGCTTTAAAAAACGACTTGTAACTGGAAAACCGAACGCAAAAAGAATGTTAACAACAAATACTTTTTCACACCCAACCCAGTTCTGCATAATCAGAATCGACGTTGAGTTTAAGCAAGCGAATGAACCAATTGGAGTAAAGTGCCATGCAGATTTAAATTTTTCCCACTTGTGACAAATGCAGCTATCGATCTTTTTTTTGCATCTTAGCATGCTAGTTAACATTTGTGTCAGTCAGCTGTTGGCTCTCACACTGACCAATAGAATCTTCCTGCCTATTTGTGGCAGCCAGCTATAGGCTCTCACTCTGGCTAGTACAAAATGGCTGCAAACTACATGAAAACTGCCATAAAAGGATGAAAAAATTGATTATTTCCACTATCAATGGGAGTTGGGAAATGCAAAGTTGGTCTTGGCCTTTGCGCTAACTTAGAGCATGTGCATGTAAATTTTGGTGCAAATCCATCGAAAATTGCGGCCGTGCATTAGTTACACACACACACACACACACATCCTGCCTTTTATATCTCTCTCTCTCTATATATATATATATATATATATATATATACACACACAACACACTCCAATTGATAGGCTTTTCTTTTCCCTTCAAAAAATAAAAAAAAAAAAAAAAATGTTAGTTTCTCACTGGAGTTAAGTATAAGAGCTAGTATTCTAGTATTAAGTATTCTAGCTAGTAAGCCTACAGGTTTTTAACATATGTCTTAGTTGTATCAATTAATGTAGTTATAAGTAAATCACCTTAAATGTGAATGGCTTATTTTAATAGCAAATTTAGTCATCTTGTAGTGTTTAATTAAATATGCTATTTCATGACTGGTAATTTTAATACCGTGTAATCTGTTGATAATAATATTTTAAGGAAATAATTAAAAAAAATTGTCATTTAGTGTCTGAACTTAAAAACAAATGCATGATATGATTTGTATTTTGATTATTTTAAGTATTTTTTCATAAAATAAGTTGATTGGTTTTAGGTAGCATGAGTCTGTTGGGATAAATGTTAATTAAACAAAAGTGTTCAGAATAAGTTTAAGATATATACTCCTCACTTGACTCTCATAATATTTCTTTTTTATATTGTTCTTAACATAAACTGGTTTAAAATTAATAAACCATAATTATTTTTAAATCTCTTAAAGTTCATTCTAATTGTTCATATCACTTGGTTTCTTCTCCCCCAGTGTATGTGTTTACTAGTGTTCTTGTACAGTTGGTACTCCACTTGTCATCATTGCTGCATTTTGTAGGAGAGGACTGTTCAGTTGGTAGAGCTTTATTATAGACAATATAACATTACAAAAGGAGTTTGGGGAAAGCTCTTTAGAATTGAACTAATATCAGTTTACAGAACTTGATTGACACAATGGTCTTCTAAAGGAGAACTACTTCATTTCTAAAATTGGACTGCTTAACACTCTTGAACAGAGAAATGTGAACTCTTCAACACCGTTTTAATTGCAACCATTTTAGTAAACAACTTAATGAGATGACAAGTATTTACTATATATTAAGTATATGGCTCTACTTGCTAAAGGTGTATACAATTCTAACCAATATGGCTGCAAATGGATTTGTTAAACCTGTCATGAATCTGTAGGGCTGTAAAGGCACCACACTTACTGCAACCATAAGTGCAATGGATGTTTCTTAATTTTCTTATTCCTATTCAGGTAGGTTTCAAATTTAGAGTTGTGCTTCTAGATTGGTTGCCCCTATCAAGGCTAAAGAACAATTTGCTCTGCCATTTATAGGGTTTGAATTTAGTTTTCCTCCTAGACTGATTGCTACCCAAGATGAGAGAGCTCAGTCTACCCTACTATTTAACTCAGAGCTGAAGGAAGATGGACTCATTATCAAAGGCATTAGTGTGAAATGAACAAAATACTGGGTCAGAATTTGAATTTGGTATGATGAGTCTAATTTCCTACCCTAATAACCATTACACTATTAGTTAAGAAAAGTTAAAAATGTGGGTATATTTGAAAAATTAAGTTAGAAGTATCAGAAAATTAATCTCCATTTGATTTTAAAGATCTTCCTTTTCATTATGTATGTGAGAATGTCTATTCTTTTGATTGAGATGTTGTAAAATGTTTTTATTACAGCAGGAAAGTAGTTGTAGCAAAAGAATGAAGGATTCCTGAGATATGGACTGTTCTTTGTAATAATTCTTGTAGATATTACTGTATCGTCTATAATTAATCGTCTGTATATCTTTAATCAGATTTAATTATTTCTATATTTTCTGGATTAATTTAGTATGACATTTGAAACCACTTGAGATCATTTTAAAGTGAGTTCTTGCTTGCATTTTTATAATACAATTTAAGAATAGATGAAAACCTGCTTTTGATATAAAGAATTTTGAATGCTATTCAGATATTGTTTTGATAAACAGAAATGTAAATTATCAATTTACATTGGTTTCTCTTTAGCAATTTACTCTAGAAAGGATATTGTTTTTTTATTAATTTTCTGGCAAGTAACATTTATTTAATAAAATGTTTTTCTCATCTAGGCTACAAAAACTAAAACTGATTTCCAAGATTAACCATAAAGCACCTTTTAAGATACAAAGAAAATTATAATTTAGTGTTTTCACTTGTCCAGTTAATTTTAACAAAATGTATTACACTGTAACTCACACTATTAATGACTTCATGTTTTATTGATATGCTTATTGGAATTTAAAAACTTTAATTATGTCAACATTTATCTGTACAATTAAGATGAAAACCAGTTTGTGTACAGATTTAAAGAAACAGCTATTTATGTGATATTCGAATTAATAGCTACTTTATGAGTTTGAAATTTTCAAATTTAGGACTTGCCAATTTTTCTCTTGTCAATAGAAAAGTTAAATTCTTTTCACTGAAAAATGCCAAATCTGCATTTGGCTAGATGGGTGGTGCAAAAAGTGGGATGATAACTGGTGGAAATCCCTTTCACAGGTGAAGATGTCAACAAGGCAAATGTGGTTGGGTGCTTTAGTGTTGGATTATAGGTGAAGTGGTGGGTCCCATTGCAAGATCCATATGCTCAAGCATTGTTTTTTATTTCATTTTAATTTAATTATGGCAAATGTGAGGCCAGATGATTTTTGTACATGACTGTGCTGTATCATATGTGCTGAAGAAAACTAATGACTGCCTGAATAAAATGACTTTCAAAGACTTTTTCATTTCATAAAGTTGGTGTATCATTTGCACAACTTTAGCACAATGGAAAATTGTAGATCATCCTTAAAAGGAAGGTTTACATTAGTAGATGGTAATTTATTAGCAAAGATAAACTTTGTTATAGTATTCTGGATGCTGTCCAGTCTGTTTTATATGAAGAAATGCAACAACTCACAAAATCAATGTATGAAGCACTTCTAAAACTAGTTTCAGAATATGGAACAGACATTTCACATTAATGTTTTTATAATTTATCACAATTAAAATGAAACTGATTTCAGTTTTTGTTCAAATCATTTGACTTTGTAAAAATTATATTTTTCTGTTTTCTATGAGTTTCAGTAACCTTGGTTAAAAAATAAAAAACTAAAAAAAACTTGGAAAATGAGGTAAAATTCATAACACTTGCCATGTCATAATTGATACATATTATCTGAAATATGCAGTATATTAATACTGCTAATATTTCTGTGAATCTCTTCATTAGTGTTCTAAAAATCAGGAAAAATTTAAAGTGGCTAATGTGACTATGTATGTATGTATGTATGTATGCAAAATCAAATTCTGATACTCAGTGTTTTATGCAATAACAATCATCAGGTGGATATAGATGATATCTGCCTGATCATTATTACATGAAACTGAGTAACAGATTTTGATATTATTTTACTAATAATATTGTATTAAAACTCTGTTGAATTTAACATTGAGCCTTTGGTTTATTTTATATTTTAAGCTTTGGTTATTATTCTTCTTACTCTATCCATCTCTATCTCTCTCTCTGTTTACTTTAAAAAAAATTATATTCTACCCTTCACACTTGGAACAAACCTCTAATAATTCCTGTTGATGTTCAGGATTTCTGTGATTTATTTCAAAAGGTTATATTTTTAGATTCTTACCTCCTATTTTCTCAAAGACTGAGATGATGGCTCACTTTTACCCGAT